ACAGCAGCTCAGTTCACAATAGCTAAGGTGTGGAATCAACCTAGATGTCCATCAGCTGAGGATTGGATAAAGTAAATGTGGTATATATACATGGTGGATTGTTACTCAGGCAGAAAAAAGAATGAAATCCTGATGTATGTAACAAAATGCTTGCAACTGGAGATCATTATGCTCATAGGGCAGACCCAAAAAGATAAATACTGAATGTTTTCTCTTGTTTGTTGTAGTTAGTATGTAGAGAGACTGTAAAAATTGTGTTTACGTCATATAATTTGGTATATGGTTATAAATATTGCTTCACTGAATCATTCTGTGTGGAAGACAATAGGCTGGCTGGCGCCGTGGCTCACTTGGCTAATCCTCCGCCTGCGGCACCAGCACCCTGGGTTCTAGTCCCGGTTGGGGCGCCGGATTCTGTCCCGGTTGCTCCTCTTCCAGTCCAGCTCTCTGCTGTGGCCCAGGAAGGCAGTGGAGGATGGCCCAAGTGCTTGGGTCCCTGCAACCACATGGGAGACCAGGAGGAAGCACCTGGCTCCTGGCTTCGGATCGGCGCAGCACGCCGGCCGTGGTAGCCATTAGGGGAGTGAACCAACGGAAGGAAGACCTTTTTCTCTGTCTCTCTCTCTCTCACTGTCTGTAACTCTCTCTCTGTCTCTCTCTCACTGTCTAACTTTGCCTAGCAAAAACAACAACAACAACAACAACAACAACAACAACAAAACAATAGGCTCTTCTTTTTTATGTTAAAAAAAATGGAGAGGGGCTGAAGAGTGAGGACTCTTGGGATGCCAGTAATGTGTTCTTAATCTGGATGCCGGTTATGAGTATGATCAGAGGACCAAACACTCATTCATCTGTACACTTGTGTTCATTTCTTGATATGTATACTGTATTTCAATAAAATGCTAAAATAAATAAATAAAAAGGCAATGCAGCTGGGACTTGACCTTTGTGACCATTTCAGGTGGCAGCTTACCCACTGCACTGAAACACTGATCCCCACCCCTGTTTGTATTTTTTCTGTGAAAATATGTCTTTGTTGATATGAAAGTTTAAAATCTTTTAAATTTAAATACTGTTATAAAGTAAAATTATCAGTGTGTTTAAAGTTTAGAAACTTAAGATCAATAACTTTTTACTCAGCTTAACTAACTTCAAATTCAGATCCAAATTTTTCCTATTTTGAAATAAAATTAACTTGTGATAAAAAGAAAAACAAAAAGAACATGTCTTTATCATTCTGCAACTGAAGATGAAGACTTTAAATTCCTGTTAGTCTGTGACTACAGGAATGTTTCAGAAATGACATTTTAGGTTACAATGTTGGTGTTTTGAGAGATGATTATGAGCAATTAGGTGTTATAGCGACACAACAGAGTGCTGCTCCAGAGAGAAGCAGGAAGTGGAACATTAATCCCCTCTGCTCATTCATACAGTCATGTATATGAGCCACAGAAACATTTATGCTGAGTGACAGCAGTCTTAACAAGCAGATACGCTACATGATTCTACTCTATTTTAGAATAGCCAAAATTAATCAGTGGTGAAAAATAAACACCAAAGTCGTTGCCTAAGGAGCCGGGCTGGTTGGAGGTATTTAGAGGTATAGTGTACTGAGACCTGCACCTTGAATTGCAACAACTGCTACACTGGGACTGATGGACGGGTACACAGTAGGGCAGATACAGTGTCAAGTTCATTGTCAGCTTCAGCTGGTGGTTAGACAAGTGCTTATCTCAACTTTTCTATAGGTTTGAAATTTTTATCATATTTAGAAAACATAATTTCAGATGAAAATCACTACAGAAAAGACACTAAGGGGAACTCTGGTTAGTGTTTTCTTTAATATAATTTTTTAAAGATTTATTTATTTATTTGAAAGGCAGAGTTACAGAGAAAGGAGAAGAGACAGAGAGAAATATTCCATCTGCTTATTCAGTACCCAAATGGCCTTAATGGCTGGGCCTGGGATGAGCAGAAGCCAGGAACCAGGACTTTTTTCTGGGATTCCCACATGGTTATTGGGGCCCAAATACTTGAGCCATCCCTCTGCTGCTTTTCCCAGGCCACTAGCAGGGAGTTGGCTTGGAATTGGGGCAGCTGGGATACGAACTGGTACCCATACAGGATGCTAGCATTGCAGGCCGAGGCTTTACCTGCTACACCACAATGCTGGCCCCAATACAAGCTTCTTGAAAGCACTGAATATCCTTATAGATATTAAGTCTCTTGTCACAGGTACATGAGTTTTTTATATTGTCTTCTCAAAATGTTGAATTAAAGAAACATTTTAAGTTATAAACACACATGAATTTCTGGATTTGTAATATATAAATTTTTCTCAAATTAAATTTATAATTAAAACCAACCTAGCATCATGTTTTTGAGTACATATCATTTCATTTTCATTTCTTACTTTTGCTAATCTCTGTGGATTAGCTTTTGGAAGCTTCTAAAATACAATGAGAAATAATAAGCAGGTGACAACTCAGGAAATAAGTTAAATGATCAGAAATAGTGAAAAGCTTGATTTGGGGGTGCAAATAATGTGACCCTGACTTTTCTCCCTGAGAATTATTGACATTCAGAAAGACTGCTTTTAAAGTGACCATGACAAATTAGAGGTATGCATTTGTTCAAAGGGACAAAATTCAGTAGGGACACGTACAAAAGTGTTTTTCAGGACTAAGATCCAATAATAAAATTGTGGAAAGAGAAAAAAACAGCCATAAGAAATTTAACCAGAGCCAGCTTCCTTTTCCTATGATTTGATCTAACTTGAATACATGTTTTTAAGTAATATGGACAAATAAGTCAAGAATTAATGAACAAAATTACTAATACACTGAAAAACTGGTTCTTTGAGAAGAAAAGAGGAAATTTTGTAAATTCTTCGCTACTGAAAAGGTTACAGTTTTGCTTGATTATCATTTTGTATTACACGAAGCACTTCTATGAGGAAGTTCTATGAAAAAGTAACAAGCCAAGTGGATTTAACAGACAGTTCAGTTGTATGAATGGAAGACTTTCTTGACCTTGAGGTTGGCTAAGCCCTGGAATATTTATCAAGAGACTCTGTGGAATCTATGTCCTGGACAAAACATACAAGCAAACATCAGTTCTGAGTAGCTCTAAATTCACCTGCAAGGGTTCGAGGGCTAACTTGGATGATCCCTGAAAGCACCTCCTGGCCTGCATTCTAATAACAATGCTTCACATCACAGTAATAGTTTTGAAATATGACTTGGTACTAATTTACACTTTTGTGGGCTTTCTGTAAGGAATGACAGCTTTAAGTTTGCTTCACTTAAACATTCATTGTATTGGGCTGGCATTGAGGCATAGCAGATAAAGCCGCCATCTGCAACACAGACATCTCATAAGGTGCTGGTTCTAGACCTGAATACTCCATGTCCAATCCAGCCCCCCGCTAATGTGCCTGGGAAAGCAGTGGAAGATGGCCCAAGTTCTTGGGCCCCTGCTACCCACGTGGGAGACCTAAATGAAGCTCCCGGCTCCTGGCTTTAGCTTGGTCCATCCCTGGCCATTGCGGCCGTTTAGTGAGTGAACCAAGTAAATGGAAGATCTCTCTCTCTGTGTCTCTCCCTCTTTCTCTCTCTGTAACTCTGCCTTTCAAATAAATAAATCTTTAAAAATTTATTGTGTTATATGATTCTTTTTGGGAACCTGTCATAGTGCTTTGATGACTTTCATGCTATTGTTAACTAAATTTCTGTATAATTATTATAAGCTAAGTATATAGTCACAACTCCTTTTCCTGCAGGAATTTGTGTTTCAAGACCTGCACTGGATGCCTGAAACCACAGATAACACCAAACCATATCTATATTATGTATTTTCCTGAACATATATAACCTGTGGAAAAGTTTAATTTCTAAATTAGATAAGAGATTAGCAACAATAAAATAGAACAATTAAAGTAATGCCCTGTACTAATAGTTATGTGAATGTGCTGTCTCTCTCAAAAGAGTCAAGATAAATATTAATATTTTCAATGGATAACCTGAACCAAAAAAAGGGAAGCCATGGATTGAAGGGAGACTATTGTAAAGTATTCTCTTATTTTTCTCTTTAGTGTTTAACGATATCATCAGCAGGACTGGAGTTGTGGTGCAGGGAGTTCAGTCTGCATGCAAAGCTGGCATCCCACATGAGTGTCAGTTTAGTCCCAGCTGTTCCACTTCCAACCTAGCTCCCTGCTGTTGCACATGGGAGAACAGCAGAAGATAGTGCAAGTACTTGGGCTCCTGCCACCCACGTGGGAGACCTGGCTAGAGTTCCAGGCTCCTGGCTTCAGCCTGGTCCAGACCTAACCATTATGGTCATTTGGGATGTGAACCAACAAATAAAGATGTGTGTGTGTGTGTGTGTGTGTCTCCCCCCTCTCTCTAATTCTGCCTTTAAAGTAAATAAATAAATTCTATTTTTTAAAGGAAACAAGCTAAAACAGTATCATTAGATGGCAACTTATATATATGAAACTACTGAATTCACAGGTACTTTCTATACTTATACTACTTCCTGAGTATAAGGATATTTAACAAGCTTTGCCATTTTACCCTATAAGCCACCATCCTACCATCCAGAGCTAGTTAACTGAGTTAACAGTGTCATCTTTGTGAGTAATTTATCTTCTTTTTGAAAGTCAATGACAAAAGCCAGTCCAACTCTCTGCTGTGGCCCAAGAGTGCAGTAGAGGATGGCCCAGGTCCTCGGGCCCTGCACCCACTTGGGAGACCAGGAGAAGCACCAGGCTCCTGGCTTCAGATCAGCATGGTGCGCCGACCACATCGCGCTGGCTGCAGTGGCCATTGGGGGGGTGAACCAACGGAAAAAGGAAGACCTTTCTCTCTGTCTCTCTCTCTCACTGTCCACTCTGCCTGTCAAAAAAAAAAATTCCTCTTTTGCATTACCCATCATAGTGTCTGTTTTTGGTTTGTTAATCTTATTCCTTGGTTTACTTTTATTATCCTTTGCAGAGCAAAACTTGCTTCCTGTTGTGATGCCATTCAAAACTTTGTTGTTTCTCAGAATAACACTCCAGTTGGGACTAACATGACTTATGAAGTGGAAAGTAAAAAGGAAATCCCCATTAGACAGAACATTTTCCATATGTTTCCAGAGGTGAGTAAACACGTGGTGTGGGTTGTTTGTGTCACCATTCCAGGTGAACTTCCTCTCCTTTTAAGTTACAGTTTATAATGATGAAGTAATTAATTAATTACAATGTCATGCTCTGCTATGTTATGTTAACCATGGATAAGAGATAGGGGCAAGCATTTGGCACAGCAGTTCCAATGCTACATGGGTTGCACACACCTCCTATTAGAGTGCTGGGAGTTGAATCCTGGATCCTTTTCTGTTTCCAGCTTCTTGCTAATGTGCACTCTGGGAGGCAGCAGGTGATGGCTCAAGTACTGGGGTCCCTACCACACAAGTGAGAGACCTGGGTTGAGTTCCAGGCTCATGGCTTTGGCCTGGCCCAGATATAACTGTGAAAGGCATTTGGGGAGTTAACCAACCAATGGGAGCTTCCTATCTCTGTCTTTCTACCTTCCAAATAAAAGTGAAAGCGAATAAAGAGTTTTTAGTGCAATTTGAATAATGTGTGGCTCTGCAGGGAAGGACATCTATGTCCTAAGTGCTAAGCTCTTCCAGTCTGTGGTCTTCCTGGGTCTTCGCATGAGATGAGGCACTTGGACTTTCTGCATAGAAATTTCTGTGACTTGGGAAGATGAGCAGTTGTTAACTTGGAATAAGATTCTTCGGGTGACTAAATTGATTTCTTCACAAAGAACTGTAGGTTTATAAAGCCTATCTTTGGAAAGTAAGTATGCAAGAATCTGTGGTCAATAAACATAACCTCCAGGAGATGGAGATTTTTGCCTGCTGTGTTCATTGAGGTACTCCAAGCTTGAAGAATATTCCTAGTACATGTAGGCACTCACTAAAGATTTGTTGAACAAATGAGTAATATGGTATACCACCACTCAACACGGTGAGAAAACAACTTGTAGGCAGTTTATCAACTGTAGGACGTTAGATTCTTACATTTAATGCTGTTTTGTTGCTTGTGTAAGTTGCTCCAATTTTTTAATAAAGAGTATTTGTTTATTTTACTTGAAAGGCAGAGAGACAGAGAGAAAGACAGCCAGAGATCTTCCATATATGGGGTCTCCCTGCAAATGCACACAACAGCCAAAACTGGACAGTCTGAGGCCAGGAGCCCAGAATGGGTCTCCCATTTGAGGGGCAGGGCAGGGATGCTGGGTCAGTTGGGGACGATGCCTAACAACTTGAGCCATCACCTGCTGCCTCACAGAGTGTTTGTTAGCAAGAAACTGGGGTTGGGAGTAGAGCCAGGATTCCAGCGCAGTCACTCTAATATGGAATGTAGGTGGCCCAAGCAGTATTTTAAACACTGTATCAAATACCTGCCCCATTTTATATTAAAATGTAGAGGAAGAATATTTGCTGAGGATAAATGAGAAATAAATAGCAAATGATAATGAAAGCTACTGCAAATTTTCTAAAAGAAAAGAAAGATAAAAATAATTGTTAAAAATCAAGTTAAGAGTAGAGAAAATTAATAAAGACAAAATTGGATTCTTTGAAGTGAACAACAAAGTAAATGCAATTTATTATGGGTAATTGTACTTCAGTGAAGTTTGTTTAAGACAACAAGAGCTCATAAAGCATTGTCATGATGCACTGAAATTATCAATAATTGAAAAGACAAGAAAGAAAGAATATTTCTACTCCCTATCAAGGAAGGTCTTGGAGTTCCTAAAATGAACAACTCTTTCACCATGCAGGTTTTGTTAGTGGTTGCCTGGCTTGCAGCTGAGTAGCCCCAGCTGGTTTGTCTCTCATTTGGCACCTTGAAAGGAATATAAAGTTGATAAATTTGTGCATGATTAACAATTGCATCCACTTTTCCAAATGTATGTGAAATTTTTAAAATTGGGAAGAGAAAATATAGAAGTCAGTTCAGTAACAATTGTAAAACTAGGTCATTTCCGTGTGTGTGTGTGTGTGTGTGTGTGTGTGTAGCTTCAACATTAACCTTCCAGGGATGGGCTTGTGGAGCTGATCTCTGTCCCACCTGGTTTCCCACAGCCTGCCCTGTTCTCTGTCCTGCTCCCAGCTCCCCAGAACTGCTAGACATGTAGCAGATCACAATAAAAGCTCTTAATTAACTGTGTGTGAAGTAACTTCCTCCAGAAACTTTGCTGATTTCTTAAAAGGGAAAATTTTTCAACCAGAGTGAGCAATGAGCAGGCAGTTGAGCCGTGCAAATTTGCATTTTCTTCAGAGGTTTATTTTAGGGAATGTCGAGGTTTATAATTTATTTAAACTCCTACTGAACATGAGATCCCAAAACATATGGATGTCTTCCCCCCTTTGACCAAGAAACCAGAGAAAAGCATTCCTTATTCTGCGTGCTTAATTTGAGATATGTCTCCCTCAGTAATCTTTTCTATTGGGCCATAAAGAGCATATTTGCATTTTTGCATTCTACCTTATCTATAAAATGCAGAACTTATTGTGGTGCCGTTTAGAAAACACTGTCTGGAGACATCTTGAGCTAGAAATTCAGCCACATGAAATAATCGAAGGTATCTGGGAACCATTCATCTGAGACCCAGGCCCCCTGCTAGGCATTGGTAAGAGAAATAAAGCACATAATTAACATTTTACTTCACTGGTGACTGAGAAACTGCCCTATATTGTGGATAAGAGCATGTTCTGTGGAGTCCTGGGGTTCACAGCCCAACCCTGCCACTTTCTAGCTATTACGGGCACTCATGCCTCCATTTCCCCATCTGTAAAATGCTCAGAGGGTTGTAGTGTGGGTTAAATGTGCTAGGAAGTTATGTACTTGGAACAGTGGCTTTCACATAACGAGCACAATATGACTGAAGTTCGGGAGTCCACCCTCTCAAGAGAGAAACACTGACACAGAGTCCTCTTTGCTTTGGGGGCATCTCCCAGGTGCAGCCTCCGGAGCAGGTCAGGGTTCGGGGTCTGCCACCTCTCTGGGCTACTCAGAACCATGGCATCCCAGGCTGTTGCCTGTGGCGCTGAGGGACTGTCACTGGGGGAGGAATGTGCCTTGCCTTTGTAGTCTTTGCCAACCCCAGTGATACAAATACTCTTACCCTGGCAGAGTTCAAGTTCCCAGTAGTTTTACTACCAGCTCACAGAATTCCTGAATAGCACCTAGGGGACCTTTGCAATCTTGAGCGAGCCAGCTCCAGCTCGTTCCTGGGGTGACACCAGGGTGGCCCACTGTACCACCATGTATACTGAACTGTGCTAAATGTGAGGAGCATGATGAGGGGAAATTCAGTCTAAGACGTACCATCTCTGTCCTTCAGGATTTACATTCTAATTCTAGAAACGAAACAGGTGAGTCAGGACCTCATCTGTGTGGAGCACGAGCCAGCAACCTCGCTGCTGGCTCAAGGTCATGTTATTACTTCAGGGAAAGTGACCAGAATAGGGAAAAGTGCACTATTGATTTGCAAAGTTATGTTTCAAACGGTGGAGGGCTCAGGGAGAGTGCGAAACCTTTTGGGCATGCGCAAGTTGAGTCTTAAGAGGAAATGAAAAGGATTCAGATCTTAGAAATGAATATGAAGAATGTCAGCGCTGACTCGGGAGCTCTCCCTGGAGCGCCCTGGCTGGTCATTTGTAGAGGCAGTAAGCATAAATCCAAGGCCATTACCAAGCACAGGAAACTTTTACCTAATTAAGTATTAATTTATGCCTTAGAAGACTTAATGCCACTTTCTAATTTCTTTATTTTTTTGCTAAAAATGTCCCTTTTTGTCAGAGAGACAGAGTGTAGGATTTTTGTGTTCTCACTTTGTTACCTAATTATGTAACATAAAATACAGTGTAATTTGCATACAAATGTATTTTGTATTATTATATTATATTCTGTGTTATATGGTGTCTGCTCATCTCAAGAGAAATAAACCAGGTTTGCATGAAGATCTTTATTATAAGTCACAGAAAGTTGGTCAGCATGCTGTGTGGCTTTTTCTTTTTCAAATGCTGCTTTCAGGACTGGTGGTGTGGTACAGCGGGTAAAGCTGCTAGTATCCCATATGGGTGCTGGTTTGAATCCTAGCTGCTCCACTTCCAATCCAGCTTCCTGCTAATGTGCCTGGGAAAGCAGTGGAAGATGGCTCAAGTGCTTGGGCCCCTGCTACCCACATGGGAGACCTGGATGGAGTTCCAGGCTCCTGGCTTCAGCCTGGCTCAACTCTGGCTATTGCAGCATTTTGGGAAGTGAAATAGCAGATGGAAGACATTTCTCTTGCTCTGTTGCACTGCCTTTTAAATGAATAAATAAATATTTTTAAAAAGAGATGCTACTTTCATTTCTTCTTCTGACTCTTTTTCTTGCCCTTAGCACATATAAAAAGTTAAGTCCTGGAATTAAGATAATGATATTAGTGGCTCTAAAACAAATGGTGTTTCATTTTCTCCTGCTAGTCCCAGCCTTTTGTGGAGTACCCTTACAATCAGTGTGCCGTGGTTGGAAATGGGGGCATTCTGAACAGGTCTCACTGCGGAGCTGAAATTGATAAGTCCGACTTTGTTTTTAGGTAAGATGCATCAAATCGGTTTCTTGGAAGCAAAATGTCAGTTGCACATTTTAAAGGGATGGTGTAAAGATACCCTGGGTACACTTCGACCCTTGAGCTGCATTGCTGAAGTCTTCTAATGCCAATGAAGTGTTATTTGGCTCACGAGTTCCTCAGAGTAATGAAACCTTAGAGATAAAAGTGTGCTATCGTCATCTGTCAGGGAGCTCTGGGTGAAATCAGGGGGAAAGAAGGATTGGGACTACAGGACTTGTCAGAGCCTTCAGAATGTTAATAGGGACGTCGTCGCAGGCTTCCTGCCCTTGAAGACCCTTTTCCTTACGCAGCATGTCAAGGAAGATTTGTTTTCTCTGATAATACTTGGGGAAATGCTAATCGAGGCATTCCCGGCTGTGCAGCACCACTGTTTTATGGCTTGAAATAATAATAATAATAAAAGAGCACAGCTTCTGAATCCCTGTCTTTTAAAACACTTTCTCTTCCAGTACCAGCTAGCCTGCAAACTTAGAAGCAGAATGATTTCTGCGTGTGTCCTACACTAATACGCCATGCTACAAGCACCTCCACTTTCAGAATCCAACAGAAAGATGATTGATCCATCCTCAGATGGATTTCAGTTGAAACACACCTTTTAAAAGAGCAAGGAGAAATCTTTTTCTTCCTGTTTTAGGACTGATTTCATACATCAGAGGAGATCCTTTGATCCTTATTGATTTATTTAGCAAATAAAAAGAAAACATGATTTTCAATAAACAGCTCCCCCTTATTTTAATCCCATGTTGAATCTCCATACTGAAGTTAATAATGGAGCAATAAACCTGACTGTCCAGCAATTATTGAGTAGTGTTTATGTTTAATGTTAAAATGGGTAATATCTGATTGGGTTAGCCATTTTGTTCAAATACTTAGTGTAAAAAGCCATAATAAAGATAAATAATTCTTCATGGCATCGACTTTTTATAGACTTAAAATCCCAAGGCATCTGTGATGTTATACCTAAACATTTATTTTACTTTATAGCAAGCATCAAATATACAAGTTTAGGTTTAAAACCTAAAAAAAATCTTGGCAGATATTTAATGTATAACTCAAATAAGCACGTAGGTTTCTAAATTCTGTATTTTTCTGAATACTGTATAGAGTTCCCTCTGAAGTTTAGCCATTTGAACTGAAAGGCAAAGTGAGGACTAGACATAATCGGTGTCATTAAAACTTTTTTTTTTATTCTTGGGTGTATTTTGGCTGTACATATTGATAGATTATAAAACAATCTGGAAGCTGCATATTTTTTTCATTTCAAAAGATTAGGAGCTACAAATTAAGTGTATAGGCACAAAATAGGCTATAGCTACACTGGTGTGTATGAATATCACCCAGTATTTTCCCTAGGAATGTATAATGAAAATTGTTTTGATTCTTCAAAAGATTATGTGACAGTTCTAGAAAGATTTGTTACAGGAGGATAGTTAATGAGGTCTTTTCTATGGCCTAGTATCTATGATTAGTATTTCTTTCCCCAAGTGCCAGTATTTGTTTTCTGATATATCTTTTATATCAATTTGGAAGATGTAGGCTTCATTTATTCATATGTTTCATAGGGCATGGAACAGAATATTTCAACCTGAGTCATACTGCAGATCATGGCAACTTTAGACAGCCTTCCTTAGGAAGCATTCAATGAGCTCTTTTTTATGCTTAGCTCTTTAGAGAGTCTATTTGAAATTCTGTGAATGACATTTAGGGAGTCATAGTCAACTTTACCTTTTTTGTGATGGGAATATAATGATTCAAACTTAGAATTCTTAATTTGTGTAACAATTTAAAAACAAATTAGTACTCAAAGAAGGATGAGAACATCCATAATGAAAACATTAGTATACGAACATTGCTTTTTATTTATTAAACAGTAATTTGATAGCAAAAAGCTCCATATGGGAATCAAAAGATTTTGATTTTTTAATGTAGTCCTTGCCTCTGGCAGCCTCTATCACCAAAGTCACAGAGCCTCAATTTTTACATCTGTAAATTGCTGTCATACCACTGTGGGAATATAATCCATATAAATAACAATTTTCATAAAAGGATTGGGATTCTTCAAAAGCTTAGCTAGGTAAAATTATCAGTTTTGTTTCTCATGCTAATAAAAATCAATATCAATATCGAAAGCACTTATCAAATTACATTACATTTTGTGTAATATTCAGATGCCAGTAAAGGCTTTAGTACTAATTAGTTTTAAACAGAAATTGGATGGTATCTGAGCATCTGTTAACACCAGTGATTTCCTCTGATATAAGGACAATTGCATGCGTGTGTGTTTGTCTACAGTTTTGCTATTTTTATAAGTTTTTTTTTTAAATAGTCTCCCTTCCAAATTTCAGGTGTAACCTCCCTCCAACCACAGGAAATGTTAGTAAAGATGTCGGCAGTAAAACAAATCTTGTGACTGTGAATCCCAGTATCATAACGCTAAAGTAAGTACCTCCAAGTTATATAATTGTTCACAAAATGTTTTCATTTTCTTAAGATGTTTCTCATTCTAAGTGCTAATCCTGTTTCTGAGACTGTGCATTACAGCTGGAATGGATTTTTTGGGAAATATCTAAGAATACATTTGCAAATTTTGACATTCTATCAAGGTTTTGGTTCCTAAGAGGTATGACTCAGTTGTACTTCTAGTGTCGTAAGCTCAATGCTTCTAATCAAATGAAAATTTATTTACCTCTTCATCTTTTTTTAACAATAGTGAAATTACTTTTTTCCCGTTTGCTTTCAGAGTTTCAGCATTACTCTCATCTCAGCAGCACTTTTTTGAGAAAAGTTGATCTATTTAGAGATTTCTGAGAGCAAGCCCCAGGACAACCTGACAAAAGACAGTGTTCACTTTGGATAGTTTATTACTCAAAAATAATTTCCCTGTTTCTTTTCTACAGTAGAACTTCTATAAAATGTTGGCTGGTTCATCTTATACATAGTTTTACTCCATTGTTTTATCAAAAGTGACCAATAATCATTATTAATAGAATATGCCCCTCCAAATAGTTCTGTCATCTCTTGAGGAAAAAATAAAGTATTGTAGCTGCCTTCTGGAGCGTGACTTTCTAAACATTCACAATTAGGCTTACAAGACTAGGGAGTGAGATAGCTTTTAAACCATATAGAGAAAGAATACAATGCATGGGGGAAAGTTTTTAAAATAATATATATAATTTTCATAGAGATATTTTAGATTTTCTAGAGGAAACTTCTATTTTATAAATAAATGTATACAAAATGTGCACAAATCACAAGTGTATAGCTCAATGAATTTTTTCAATGTGTGAAACATATGTGCTGTGCTCAAAAAACAAAATTTCATTGCAAACGTGGAAGGTGTTAGAGCATCAGAGAGCAACTTTAGAAAAACAAATCACTGAGTTGGAATATAAAATAATATGAGGAATGTCTGTCTAGACAGAATGGGAGAAAATATTTGCAAATTATACATCTGGTAAGGGGTTGATTTCCAGGATATAGAAGGAGCTCAAGAAACTCAACAACAAAACAAGCAACCCAGTTATGATATGGGCGAAGGATATGAACAGACATCTTTCAAAGGATGAAATACAAATGGCCAGCAGATGGGTGAAAAGATGTTCAGGAGCACTAACCATCAGGGAAATGCAAATAAAAACTACAGTGAGGTTTTACCTCACCCCAGTTAGAATGCTATCATCCAAAAGTCAAAAAAATAACAAATGCTGGTGAGGATTTAGGGAAAAGGTACCCTAATACACTATTTTTGGGAATGTAAACTAGTACAACCATTATGGAAGACAGTATGGTGAGTGCACAGAAATCTGAAAACAGATCTACCATATGACCCAGCCATTCCACTCCCAGAAATTTACCCAAAGGAAATGAAATCAGCATATGAAAGGGTGATCTGGACCCTTATGTTTATAGCAGCTCAAACTCACAATAGCTATGATATGGAATCAACCCAGGTGTTCATCAACTGATGACTGGATAGAGAAATTATGATATATATTTACACACACTCTGGAATACTACTCAGCAGTAAAAAAGAATGAAATTTCAACAAAATGGATATAACTGGAGACCATTATTCTTAGTGAAATAAGCCATTCCCAAAAAGACGAATACCGTGTTTTCCCTGATCTATGGTAACTAATATACAATGTATAAAAAAGTAATTTATATGAATTAAATTGACATTTTGAGATTTGATTATTGCTTAAAGCCCTTGTCTATACTCTTGAGGAACAGTGGCTTTTCTACCTACTACTTGCTGAATTCTTTATTTAGTAGAGTGTAAACTTGTGATTATAAAGTAAATTGAAAGTATATCATCATAAAAATTAAAAGGAAAAATAAAAGAGGAGGAGAGAGGATGGGAAGTATCATTATGCCCTTAAAACTGTAAATGCAAAATACATGAAATTTGTTCACTTTATATAAATAAAAATTATTTTTTTAATAAAAAGGAAATAGAAGTCAAAAGCCTTGGTACTCCAAGAAGGGGAGAAAGGTCTATCCCTTGATATTTATGACAGGTTTGTGTGAATGAGTTGTCACTGAGTCTGTGGTTTATCTTTTTTACATGCAGGATATAAATGCTTCCGTTTTTTGACCAGTGGTAAATTCAACCTCGTGATACAAATCTGCTACTTTGATTATTAATATTGTGATTATGATTTTTTAACATTTGGCAGATATGGGAACTTAAAGGAAAAAAAAGCAGTATTTCTGGAAGACATTGCAACCTATGGAGATGCATTCCTCCTTCTGCCTGCATTTTCCTTCAGGGCCAACACTGGCACCTCTTTTAAAGTGTATTTCACACTCAAAGAGTCTAAGGCAAGACAGAAGGTTCTGTTTTTCCATCCCAAGTACCTGAAGCACCTTGCTCTTTTCTGGAGAACTAAAGGTGTGACTGCGTACCGCCTGTCCACTGGCTTGATGATCACCAGCGTGGCGGTGGAGCTGTGTGAGAACGTGAAGCTGTATGGATTCTGGCCCTTCTCCAGAACCGTGGAAGACACGCCTGTCAGCCACCACTACTATGACAACAAGTTGCCCAAACGTGGTTTCCATCAGATGCCCAAAGAATACAGCCAGATCCTCCAACTTCACGTGAAAGGAATCCTCAAACTGCAATTTAGCAAATGTGAAGTAGCCTAAACGAAGCGTCTTAAATGACGATAATTTTAGTGTAAGTCTGTGAGTAATGTTTCCAAACACTAATGTGAGTGGCTACAGGAACAGCCCTGAAACTTGGCTTGACGAAAAGCAACCCCCACAAATCATTCACTCATTTCCATCTTCTGTTTCCTTCCTTGTACGGTGGGGACCTTAGTATCTGACTCATGTAAGTAGTTTATGAAAACTCTTGACAAAGCGTTTGGAATAGTTCTTTGATAATATTTCTGACAGCCATTTCCACCCTCACCAGACATGAAAGGCACGCTGGCTTGGAGAACCCTTCTGAAGAGAGCAGCTGAATTGCCAGTGTTCATTGAATGTCTTTCTCTAACAGGCTTCTCTTAAAACAGTATTCTTCCCTTTTTCTTTCTGTCTTTTTTTTTTTTTTTAACAGGCAGAGTGGACAGTAAGAGAGACAGAGAGAAAGGTCTTCCTTTGCTGTTGGTTCACTCTCCAATGGCTGCCGCAGCTGGCGTGCTGCGGCCGGCGCACCGCGCTGATCCGAAGGCAGGAGCCAGGTGCTTCTCCTGGTCTCCCATGGGGTGCAGGGCCCAAGCACTTGGGCCATCCTCCACTGTGCTCCCGGGCCACAGCAGAGAGCTGGCCTGGAAGAAGGGCAACCGGGACAGAATCCGGCGCCCCGACCAGGACTAGAACCCCGTGTGCTGGTGCTGCAAGGCGGAGGATTAGCCTATTGAGCTGCGGCACCAGCCTTGAGTACATACAAGAAAATTGTGTAGGGGGCCTGTACTGTGGCATAGGGGGCTAAGCCTCCACCTGTGGCACTGGCATCTCATATAGATGCCAATTCTAGTCCTGGCTGCTCCTCTTCCAATCCAGCTCTTGGCTTTGGCCTAGGAGAGCAATGGAAGATGGCCCAAGCTCTTGAGCCCCCACACCTGCGTGGAAGACCCAGAAGAAGCTCCTGGCTCCTGGCTTCGGATCAGCCCAGCTCCAGCCATTGTGGCCATTTGGGGAGTGAACCAGTAGATAGAATACCTCTCTCCCTCCCTCCCTCCCTCCTTCCTACTGTCTATAACTCTACCTCTCAAATAAATAAATAAAATAAAAAGAAAATTATGTGGTTAAACAAGAAATCATTGATTATTGAGGAAAGAAATTCTTCTCTCTTTTTTAGAGATTTATTTTTATTTATTTGAAAGAGTCACAGAGAGAGGTAGATACAAAGAGAGAGGTCTTCCCTTTGCTTGTTCACTCTCCAAATGGCTGCAATGGCCAGAGCTGAGCTGATCTGAAGCTAGGAGCCAGGAGCTTCTTCCAGGGCTCCCATTGGGTGCAGGAGCCCAAGGACTTAGGCCATCTTCTGCTGCTTTTTCAGGCACATTAGTAGGGAGCTGTATTGGAAGTGGAGCAGCTGGAACAAGAACCAGTGCCCATGTGGGATGCTGGTGCTGCAGACCAGGGCTTTAACCTGCTGTGCCACAGCACCGGCCCCAAAATAATTCTCTTTGCGTGGCAATGTGCCTGTTTCTGATTCCATTCACTTATGATACTAGCAGCAGTGATGTGTTGGTTAGAATTAGGCAACTTTTCCCTTTTTACTTCATTTTTAACATCATTCTTTATAATTTTGTGTTAACTTTCTGCCTCACTCTTGGGCACCTTTCTATCCCACTAACAGGATCAATTTCAAGGATATGATCAGTCTTTCTTAACTGCTGTCTTGTTTTGGGGGTGACTCATTCATTTTATTTAAAAAGAAAAAATAATTGCATAACTATTTTCCTGTAGCAGGCCCTGTAGCAGGCTCGGTGAGGGGCAAGGGGGCTGCCTCTGGCAGGAGGAAGCAGATGTGCGAATCATTAACTGCGCTGTGCCAGGGTGAGTGTTAGAGTGACAAAAGTTATGGGTAAAGCCCTGGAAGCCACAGAGGCAGGAATAACCAAGTCTATTTCAGTGGAATTCTTTTTTCAATGTATCTTTTTCACAGAAGTGGTGATTTCTGAATTAAGCCTAGAAAATGAGTAGAGTTTGACCAGATGAACAGCATTAAGTAGAGGGCCTGTTACAGGGTGAAGAGCTGTCCCCTTGATTCTGATCCACCAGAACAAGGGTGTTTTAAGGCAGGACTTGATGTGGGCCCCAGCAACTGCCCCCTGAGGGTACAGTGTGGAGGAAGGTGGCTTGGTCCTACATAGGAAGGCTGTAGGGATTAAAACACATAAAAACCTTGCTTCTCACAAGGGAAGATGTATGTTTATGTGACAAATGAGACTCATGATTTAGACTTCTTTATAAAATAAAGCCTGAGTAGATATTATTGACATTTTGATACCACTCCCTTACATTCTGATGATACCTGTTAATACAGGTCACCCCTGCATCTAGTGAATACGTATTTAAGTAAGCAATCACGTTCATGCTTTGTAACTCATCTTGGTACCATTGCAAGAAGACAGGAAATGGGAGTGCAGCAGGCCAGGTCATCACGTCTAAACAATTATAATTAGCATTTCTGAGCTCTGGAGCCAGGTTATTGTTTTCCTGAATGCTCAGTTTGGAGAACACTGTGCTGTAAATTCATTTTGATAAGGTACATTTTTACTTTGATTATAGCTGACGTTTGTGATGTTATGTTTAGTTCATATTTTCATTCAGTATTTTATAACAAATGACACTAATTAGCACCATAAACTGATCATAAGTTCAAATATATTTACCATAAGGAAAATACCTTTTGTTACATAAAGTTTAATTTATTTACTTTCTTTTTGTGGGAGCTGGTAGGTGGCTTTTTCCTATTACTCCTAAAGGATTTACTTAGTTTTACATAATCTGTTAGCATTGGTAATGTTTCTAACACACTACCAGCAATGGATTGTTAAAAATAGATAAATACTGTAGTACTTTATAGCAAATAAAATGTTTCCCTCACATTGCTCTATGGAAAGTAGAAATGTAAACTGTTTCTTTTTATAATATTAGAAATACATGATTGATGAGTACAATAAAATATGCTGAAGTAAATAATTAAATGTGAAATGTGGAGACTATTTTATATGTTATTTTAATAAAATTACATATGATTAGTATAGATAGACTTTACTTAAGTGTTCCCCAGATAACATCCTATTTTAACTTAGAAGTTTTCTATTTTTTTTTATTTTTTTTATTTATTTTTTTTTTTTTTTTAATTTTTATTTTTGATAGGCAGAGTGGACAGTGAGAGAGAGAGACAGAGAGAAAGGTCTTCCTTTGCCGTTGGTTCACCCTCCAATGGCCGCCGCTGCAGCCGGCGCACTGCGCTGATCCGATGGCAGGAGCCAGGATCCAGGTGCTTTTCCTGGTCTCCCATGGGGTGCAGGGCCCAAGCACCTGGGCCATCCTCCACTGCACTCCCTGGCCATAGCAGAGAGCTGGCCTGGAAGAGGGGCAACCGGGACAGAATCCGGCACCCCGACCGGGACTAGAACCCGGTGTGCCGGTGCCGCAAGGTGGAGGATTAGCCTATTGAGCCACGGCGCCGGCCAACTTAGAAGTTTTCTATAGAATATCAAAACAGGATCTCTGGTGTCACTGATGGGGATTCTAGAAACATTCAGAATTGTAGGAGACCAAGTACCATGATGACAGCCAGATCCCAGGAAAGATTCAGCAGAAAAAATTCAGAGTTTTTATGGAAGAAATTATGGACATTTCCACATTAACAGGTCTGAAGTTTAGCTCTTATTTAATGTCTGTGTTGCCGTCTTAAAAGCACATTGGAAAAATTTATCACAGTCCTACCTACATCACAGTAGGCAAAAGTCTTTGGTCAAGGAGAGATTTCTTGAGAGTGTCACAGGCAGATTTAGCAATGGTAAGCTACAAATCTTACAAGGTGGTATGAATAGTTTCTCTTTTTGTCCTGATCTTGGTGAAAATTTTTGAATAATTCAGACATTACAGAACAAATAGAACTGTGACTTATGTTTTACAGTTTACATAGTTTATATGCTATATTATAAAAATTCATGTTCTGGCCGGCGCCGCGGCTCACTAGGCTAATCCTCCGCCTAGCGGCGCCGGCACACCGGGTTCTAGTCCCGGTCGGGGCGCCGGATTCTGTCCCGGTTGCCCCTCTTCCAGGCCAGCCCTCTGCTGTGGCCAGGGAGTGCAGTGGAGGATGGCCCAGGTGCTTGGGCCCTGCACCCCATGGGAGACCAGGAAAAGCACCTGGCTCCTGGCTCCTGCCATCGGATCAGCGCGGTGCGCCGGCCGCAGCGCGCCAGCCGCGGCGGCCATTGGAGGGTGAACCAACGGCAAAGGAAGACCTTTCTCTCTGTCTCTCTCTCTCACTGTCCACTCTGCCTGTCAAAAAAATAAAAAAAATAAAAAATAAAATAAAATAAAATAAAATAAAATAAAAATTCATGTTCTGTGCAATTTTTATGTTATATGTATGACACTCTACATATGCATTCTTTGTAGTTCTTTCCCAAGCTGTTCTGTAGTAGTTGTGATTTCCTGACAGCTTGGGGTGCTCAGCCATTGTCTGAAGCTTGTTACACTCTCTCACTAGTCATGTGTTATGGAGAGCTATTGGGAGTGAGGTGTGTGTGCCTTATGTACATCACAACATTTTCTTCCTGGTAGCATGACCATCATGTATTCCATTGTGAATTGCCAATAATGCCCTTCAGTTCCAAAATAGAGCATTACCTAGAACTTTCTAAAATATGACAGAATATGAATTTTGACACTACAGAATCTCAGTTATATAAAATGTAAAATATAAATCAAATCTTCTTTTTGTTCTGTAATGGAGAGTTTTCGCAAGTTTTCACCAAGATCAGAATTAAAGAAAAATCCTGAACTCTTCCTTAATATTTCTTGATTAACTACCACCAGGTTTGGCTGTGACATTCTCAAGAAATCTCTGTGTGTAATGTGCATTGCTTAGATGTTTCTGGATGAATTGAATTTGATCTTCTGTTCTTAAAGTTCAAATATATCCATGAGCATTGACAATGGAAAACCTGAACACTTGTGCTAGAGGTTAGTAGATTTTGTTTAGTTAGGATTCTAGCACAGATTGCCACACACTACCAATTTCTAAGGGAAGTGCTGGCTTACTTGATTCTATTATTGTTAATCAATATCACTGGATAATAAAATGGAATAACAGGATTCCAAGTTAATTTTCCATCGAATTGAAGAGTATAGCAGACACATCAATTTAAGTGTACAGTACATAGTGCTGTGTGGTCTCTGTAAAAGACTCTGTGAACAAATGCATAGAATTGACGTTTGCATAATACAATAGTCCTTGAAATCTTTGGTGTTTTTCCCTCCAAACAAAAGGCAAAGGCAAATAGATCATGACTTTCACAAAAGATTTCTCTTTGCATGTAAATTCCAACCCAGTAAGTATTTGGGCTCTCAGCCAGATAATCAGTCAAGGACATCTTTCCATGTATAGAATACTGAATTACACCATAAATCAGACCTGTGTCTTGGCCTAAATTTTTCCTTGCTTTCAAAAATTCAACTTAAGACTCTACCATGTCAAGTAACCTAAATCATTCTATGAATTTTAGCAAACTTTGAAAAGTTAAAATATTTGTGAATAACGGGTCTACTAACATCCTATAAAGCTATAGAAGCATAGTTATGATGTAGTGCATAAAATAGGTATGACATTCAGGACATTTTATATGTATAACATGACAGGAAACACTTCAGTGTACTCATACAATGCTACTGAACAATGAAGGCATTGCAGGAATTTTTCTGTTTTATCTATTGCACTTGACTCGATAAGATTATTTCTTCCTTGTATTTGATCTTAAAAAACCATCTGGAGCCCCGAGGTATGTAAGGTGTCTTGTTTGTTGTGGCTTCAGAAGCCTGACTCCATAGTCATCAGTGTCATCATTACCCTCCTGAGAGTGGATAGGCAGGAATATTTCTCTTTTCTTATCCTAGGTCATAACTCTTCCTGAAGCATTCATCCTTTTACTACGATAAATTGTAAGTGATTTGTAATTTTAAATACTTCACTCTCATATTATGCAGACAGGACAAACTCTTCACTAGATGATATTGGAACACTAGCTCACCATGGAGAAAAATAAATGCCTATATCAGTGCACCAAATAAGAAGTTGGACTCCAGATGTATTGAAGATGGATTAAATAGTCAAATTATAAAGCTAGTAGAAGAAAATTTAGGGGAATTATGTCTAAGATATAAGTGAGGAACGATACTTTTTTTAAAAAATATTTATTTATTTATTTATTTGAAAGGTAGAGAGAGAGAGAGAGCTTCCATCAGCTGGTTCACCCTCCAAATGGCCTCAGTGGCTTCTTCTGGGTCTCCCACATCAGTGAGGGGCCCAAGTACTTGGACCATCCTTTGCTGCTTTCCCAGGCACATTAGCAGGGAGCTGGATCGGAAGTGGAGCCCTGGAACTTGGACTGGTGCCCATATGAGTTGCCAGAGGCACAGGCTGTGACTTTACCCACTATGCCACAACACTGGCCCCAGAACTGTACTTCTTAAATATTACACAGAAATAACTTTCGAAAGAATGAGGTTAAGAAATGAGGGATAAGACTACATTAAAATGAAAGATGTTTAGTCATTGAACAACACTGTAAAGTTATATAGACTGGTAATATACTGGAGTAGCTTTTAGCAAAAAAGCATAAGCATAAAATTAATAATATTTATACAAAGACATTTTAAGGAGCTGCAAATCAACAAGTAAAAGACAGGATCCAAAAATAAAACTGATCAAAGGACAGAATGTGACTTACAAAGGGAAAAACAGAATAACTTTTAAAGATAAGAAATGATGTTCAAACATCTGAAAATTCAACTTAAAGGAAGATGCTAAGCCCTTTGTATTGGCAAAATTTAGTAGCACCATTAGTTACAAGTGTAGATGAAAATGTAAACTGATTTGGCCATTTGAAAAACAAATCTGAAACTACTGAGTTAGTAAAGTTAATTATTTGTTCTTCTTATGGCCAAGACATCCCACTTTTAGATATATGAGCATACTGTAAGAAATTTGTGGAAAATGAAATTAAAAATAGATTTATTTCAGTGCAAAAAAAACTGGAGACTGGTGCATAGCCTTTTCATAATGTACATTTTTCATGAACTTTTTAAAAATATTTTGTATGTCTCAGAGAACCTCATATACAAGTCCACAAAGAGACAAATGCTAAGAAACTTATTATTATTTGTGGTGGTAGGCAGTTGCATACATAGATGTCTATCTTTTAGGGAATCAGTGAGCTAGCTTTAGTGGTTACATAGTGTGAAGTGCAAAACAGCAATTAGAAGCAACTTACTGGATAAATATCGAGAAACAAGAATAGATTCTTAAAATATAGCATAAAGGGAAAAATAAGAGCTATAGCACAATGCCATTTGATTACATTAAAGCATATACATGCACACACACACATGTTTAAGGGCTTATATCAAATATAAGAAGGATACCCATTAAGGAGGGAGTAATGGGAGTGGGTTTAAGCAAATCACTGGCACATAATTCTTATCCTCACATGAAATAGTCCTGCATAAATAAATCTAGTAATGAGACTCAAAATTCTAAGTAACTTATCTAAGATTGCATTATTAAAATAGAGATAACATTCAAGCTCTCGTGTCTGACTCTAAAGCCAGTACTATTTCCATTATGCAGTTATAACGTGAATATTAAAATCAACATCCTTGGATGTAATTGACATAAAATGAACTGCATTATATTTAAAGTGTAAAATCTGAAAAGTTTGAATGTGTATGCGCACATGAAAAAGTCTTCCCAATCAAGATAGCAATGTATAAACTCGTTATCCCAAAATGTTTTCTTGTGCTACTTTGTAAATCCTCTCTCTTACTCTCCTTGGTTCATCCCACCCTTGTTCTCTCAGTCACACCTCGATCTGTTTTTCTATAGACTAGTTCCCATTTTTACACTATAAATTGTTTACATTTTTAAAAATTTTATATAAATGGAATCATACTGTGTGTATTCATTTTTGTCTTGCTCAACATAATATTAAGATTCTTTTGTGTTGTTTATCAATAGTTCCTTCTTCTATTTGCTGAGAATATTGTTATATGGAAGTACCACAATTTTGTTTATCTGTTCACTGCTGATGTACATTTTTATTTGTCTCCAGTTTTTGGCTATTAAAAATAAAGCTATCGTAAACATTGATCTACATGTCTGTGTGTGAACATTCATTTTCTTAGGACAAATATGTAGGATTTAGAAGCTGATCACATGGTCAGTGTTTGTGTATCGTTTAGAAAAACTACCAGACTGTTTGCCAAATTGGTTACAACATTTCATTTTCCTATCAGAAGTGAAGCCAGTTGGAGTTGCATGATATACTTAACAAAATTTAGTGTGGCCATTCTTTGTAGTTACAGATATTCTATTGGAATGTAGTTGCACCTCGTTGTGATTTTAGCTTGCACTTCCCTTATTATGTTTTCATGTATTATTTGTCTTCTGTATCTCTTCTTTGGTGACGTATCTGTACAAATCCTCTGGCCATTTTTATTTTGATTCTCTGGGTAAAGCAGTGTTACAAGGGTTTCTTATATATTCAGGATACAAATCTGTTGGATATAGGTTTTGCAACTATTTTCTCTCAATTTGTGGTATGCGATTTCATTTTCTTACTAGTGTCTTAAATAGCAAGAGTTTTTAATTTTACTTCAGCCTAATTTATTGATTTTTAAATATTTTTATAGTTTTGTGTCAAATTTAAGAAATCTTTGCCAAACCTATGCTCACTACAATTTTCTTTTATGTTGTCTTGTGTCTGAAAGGCTTATAGTTTGACACTTACATTTAGGAGTCAATTAATTTTGTATGTACTTAGGGTGAGAGATATGGGTAAAGGTTCATATTTTACATAAATCTATCCAATTACTTCACTGGAATTTGTTGAGAGATTACCCCTATTGCATTGCTTTTGCATCAGTGTTGAAATAATTCGGTTTACA